TGTTTGCTGGGATATTATGTATTTTGCATATTCTTCGTTATATTTTGTAAGCCATGATTTGAAATTTTCATCCTTCAGCCAATTATCATTAAAAGAGCAAAAACGTTTTAATTTTTTCTTTAGAGTTAGCTGATTCATTTTTAATAAGTTTAAACAAATTGTTTAATAATTGTTCCTGTAACAAATTATTTAATAATTACTTACATAAAAGAACATATGACTTTTATGAACCAGAAAGCAAAAGTGCCGTAATCACATTAGAGATTGAGATTGATCGGGATTTGACCAATTAAAGCAAAATTTATACTAAACTTGATTAATTAGTTTCTTTTTCTTCTGATTGGTTAAATTCCATTCCAATCCAATCTCAATCTTAATCGCTAGTGTGATTATGATTTAAGTCATTTTCTTCAGAGCTAGCACCTTTGCTTTCTCTCTCTACAATATCCGAATATGTACATATTTACCTCATTTAAAAATTTTGAGAAATTTCAAACAATGCTAATAAATCTGTTAAAGATTCGAGTTGATATCCTAATCTAACCTTTACACATATGTATGTATATCAAAAGCAAGCTGATACCTAGGTGCACTTGAGTGCACTTTTTGAACGTAGTCCTAGCGGAGCGCCACGAAAATTGAGCGGTCTGTTACGTAACTTCTTATGGCGCTCTAAATTTGATTTTAGATCTGTTCTTTTTGGTTCACCTTTCTTCCTCTTTTTTCCTCTTGGAGAGAAAAGGAAGAAAGATGAACAGGTGCAAAAGTTCAGCCAAAAAGAACAGGCCTCTTATTATTTGGATGCACTTATAAACCGGACATATGACTCCTGAAAACCTGACAGTCCGGGTCAAATCCGGACGGTTGGCAACTCTAGTCGCGACACGAGACGATTTGAGCCAACTTTTGTATATATGGTAGTAGTTTTAACAAAATCGATAACAGACAGAGAAATATTAGTATCTCTGTCTAACCTTAATGCCGATTAGAGGGTCCTCTAGATACTATCAGTCAATTTTGATTGTATAAAATTGGTTATCTCAATATTTTCCAGCTAAGATTTTTTATTTTTTAAGAATGTATTGTACAGATTATGTAGTAATTACATATAAAATACATGAATGAATTTGATTGGATACTTGATTATATTGTAGATATACAAATTTTTAAATAATTTTAACAATCAATTTATTACAAAAAAAATTAATTAAGATTATTATTTTTCACATTTTCTTGAAAAATTTTAGATAATTAATTCTAGAAATTTTATTAAATTGTAAATTAAAATTTTGTTATAATAAAATATTTCTAAAAAAATAAATTTTTCTAAATAAAACCACATTTTTTAAATAATCAGAAAATAAAACAAGCCGATATTGTAATATTTTATCATTTTTACATACATATGTGTATATGCGTATAAAAATAATAATAGATATATTTAAAGGAATTATGTAAAATAAACACACAATTGTGAAAAATAATTGTTGATAATATAATGTAATTACATTTAATATGACCTAATATTCAATGTGACCTATTTGCTGTTTGAACAGTTAAATACGTAATGGTTAAATCTTCGTACACTCGCGTAAATATTGAAAATGTAGGGTAGAGTGGACATGAAAGAGACATGTTTTGAAAGAGCCATTTCGTATTGCAACTAATTAAATATAACCAAAAATTTAAAAATATTTTCATTTGATAACAGTACTAAAACTACGTCATCCATAAACATTTTACAGTCATCGTCAAAACGGCGTGGCCGTAATGAGAGATGGAAAATTATCATTATAAAAAGTAAATTTCTTGAGTTCAATTTCCAAGTCTTTTTCATTTATTTGCGATTAGCTTTTAGAAAAAGTATTTTTTTTATCGAATATTATATACATTAACGTAACTAAGAACGTAGTTACAAATTTTTTTGCTTATTGTGGTGTTTATCAGATATTTTGTAATTAGATTTTTTTTACACATAGTGTTATATGAAAGAGCTGGTATTGAAAAAGTCAGTTCCTTTATTGCCTTTGCGTGATTTCTTCATTGCATACACAGGAACGTTTTTTTCAATATAATTGTATACTTTTTTTAAATTTTCTTTGGGGGAAGTTTTTATTTTTTTGCAATACATGTTTTTAATTAGAAATATTGTATTTTCTATTTTTCACACATTTATTAATTTTCTAAAAAGAATATTTGTTAAAAAATGACATTTTTATTTGATTTGTGTTAAAGTTTATATAATTTAGTATCCAGTTATTTCAAAACAAGTGATGGCTTCTTCATAACCACGTTGTTTTGAAAGAGCTGAATTTCCAATTTATATAAAAATGATGATTAAATCTCTGTTAATGATTAAATTATTTTTCTGTTAATGGATCTTATAGACAAATGTGTATATTTAAATTATAAAATAATTTTGTTTGTTCAACACCAGATTAAATATTTTTTCCATATTTTGAAAAAACTGGCTCTTTCATATCCCCTATCCCCTATTATATTTTCAATAAATACTTAGAAATGTTTCCTATTTTGAATTTGATCCTCAGTTTTTAATATCGAACTCAGTAAAAATTGCACCGCTTATATTGATTGTATTTTAGGTATAGTTACTTATTTAAACAAATACACATGTGCTGACAGAGAAAAGATTAAAGTTGCCACACAGAATAATGTTATTTTTCGTTCATGTATATAAAAAAGTGACGAGAACCGTAGTACTCTGAAAGTGATCTACGTGCCTTCGCGAGAATAAGTGCTATATGGATGTTACAATCACGGCTGTCATATTTTTAGTTTCACTTAAGATCGATAGGTTTTCCGCAAAAGATTTTATTATCCTATCAGAACTGGATAACCAGTATCGAAATTGCCAAAACTGAAATTTCCTGGTTGTGTGTCCTCTAAAGAAAAAAAGGCTCTCCTAGCGGAAATATTTTTCTAAAAACCGGAAGAAAGTTGACACGCGTACATAAAAAAATCATTAAAATTTTAAGCTGTTAGCTGGAGTTTCCGTGTGCGGGAGATTTGGTCAAAAAGCCAAAGTTTCCAGCCAAAAACCGGAGATGTGGTAAGCGTGGTTATAATAATAATGATTATTTCTAGGTCAGAGTTAAATCCTGCGCTTTGAAGCTAAAGCCCGCAAGATTAACCCATTTCCACGTTATAACGCGCGTTAAGCGCATATGTTTATAAAAACGTACCCATTTGATTAGGATAGTCCATGTACAGACATGTATTTGACGCGCACTACAACACGTGATAATGCACGCATTTATAAATCCAGGATTATTAATAATTATCCACAATTGTATTCACAATAACATGCACAAGAAAAATCTTACATACTATAATACACACTTTATTTTACATAAAAATTCTTTGCGAGAGTTGACGGTAATACTGCTGCTGTTTATTCTATTGTCTATTGCTGCAATGAAATCGAACTCTCAGTACTGTGCTGTGCAACTATATTATTCTAGAGGCAGTAATAAATCTTCAACTAAGGCAACCATGTATGAGAATATTCTAATCAAACGTTACTTATCGTGTAAGAATTACGATTGTGAGAACTGTTTATACGGGCATATCTCAAGCTATATATTTAATATAATATCAATATAACATGAATTCATATACATTTCTTTTTCATAAAGAATGTTATTGTAACAATCAAAGCCAATATATTCCCAGTTCATACCAGTATAATCAATGTTTAATCAATGTATCGCTAATGAATTGTACTACTAAGATAATATCTAATTTGATTAATGTTTCGTGATCTTATTCCTACAATTTCGCATGCAATATTCCGGCGTCGATGATCGCCTATCATTGCTCGATTCTGCCTGCCCTTTCATTGTTTTCCTATCCTCGTAGGTAACGATGTTTCTCAATCATCGCTGATTTCGTGTCGGCAATCGGTGACGTCGGGCGCGTCCGAAATACAATTCTCTTGTAAACGAGAACAGATATTCAGACCGAATACGAAGACTTGTGGCGTGCATTTTAATGAACTTGCTGTCCAATCTTGTTTTCCAGTGGCGTAAGTTCCTTCGGGAGGACAAAGAGAAAACGAAGGACAGGAGGAGACAGAGAGGAAGAGAGAGGGGTTACAGGCAGCGGCGGTGGAGGCAACAACGGAGGGCGCAGGGAGAGACGGCGGGGTGAACCGGAACCGGAAATGGCTGCGAGGTGGCTGCTATTGCTGGCGCTCCTCGCCGCCCACGCCGCGGCTCTTCCTGATTTCATTAGGATAGGTGAGTATCTTTCTCCTGGTGTGAAAGCCACGACCCTTTCGACCGCATTCAATGGCGTCAGTAAAATTATTATCAATGTCTCGATCGATAATATCCACGAGTAAGGAAACGATAGTACGGACTTGGATTTTCGAGATAATACTCGTAGAAGCTTTACGAATATTATAATCAGATAAAATCTTATTTCTCAGTTAATTTGAAGAGGAATTTAATGGAATCGTAGGCTTAGTTATTGAGATAAATAATCATAATGATTAAAGCAAGTTTTTTTTTAATGTAAAAGCATTTTTGAAGTGATGTACTCACATAAAATCTTGTTTGATTTATAAAAAAATTATAATAGTTAAATTAACATTATTATTTGTTCCTTGTCATTTTTTATATCTCTTTTATGTTTTAATTTTTATAATCATAACGAATTATTAATTATATTTTTAAAGCTATATTAAGAACTATTTTCGGACAGATTACATCACCTTATGTTTTCAATCTATAATTCTTGGTTTATATTCATATTGATACATATCAAGCCAAATATCGTTAAACTATAACGGCTTCGTGAAAATGTTTTGCTGGCCAGACAAATAATTGAAATTAATAGCGGCGATAAAAGGGTGTGCTACTAACAGTGCTCTATTTAATTGGCATTGATGGTAGTGCAAGAGAAACACAGGCAACGTGACGCGGATAACATGCATTTTACCGTGTGCGACGACAATTACCGAAGTTCTGGCTGTTGCGCGTCAGAGAGAAAATCACTTCGATAGCAACCACGCGTGTACTGCTGCACATGTAGCGGATATATAAACAAGAGGTATTTCACAGTTAAATGTCGCTAACCATCTGCCTGCGGATATATTGAAAGTAGCTGCCTCTGTGAATAGCAGATACTGATATAGCACATTCCGCTTACAAGTCACGAAAATTTGCAAAATTTTGCAGTTGAAAATAACACATAAAAAAGGTATATTATACATTTTTTCAAAGATTCTTCACAGGCAACGACTGAACGATAATTTTACATATTTTGAATTGAAAAAAATGTTCAGAATTTTTGTATTATATGTTGTCTCGCAAAAATTTATATTAAAAAATTTTTACAATTTCTATTTATATTTTATAAAAATCAAAAGGATAAAATTAGTCTTTTATATAAATATTTAAAAAAATATAAATTAATAATAAGATAATATAATTTTAATATAATGTAATAATAAATATAATGTTAAAACAAATTTCATATAATGTAATAATAAATAATTATTATAATAAAGAAATGAGATATAAATTTACAAATATTGACATTATTATGTTGGTTTATGATGCAAAATATTTTTATATATTCTCTTTTATAGAAACAGTTTTAAAAATATATTTTGTAATTTTGTCGCAAAAACTTTTACTTGCTTTTACGTGAAAACCACAAACGTATTTTATTTTGTCGCAAAAACTTTTGCTTGCTTTTACTTGAAAACCACAAACGTATTTTAATGCAGAAAATTATGAAATCGTAAAATTTTCACCGATACTTTCTAATAGAAAATAATAGAACAATAGAATTTATTACACTTCAGTATTTACATAGCCAAGAAGGGGACTTGGTTTATAATAAATTCTTGCCTCACATCCTTCCATACTTCATACGCGCTTATTTAATTATTTTACTATTTCACTATTTACTTTTACTTTCTACTTCTATCTTTATCTTTAGCATTGCCGCTTTCCAATTATGACATATTTATCATCTTACGTCTAATTAATAGAAAATAAAATCTCATTTATTTAATGGAGATTCTTTGTTACTGTACATGCTATCGATATCTAACAAAACAAAATAAAACAAAATTAATAACGTTATTGTTATCAGAATTTGATAGTATCACAACGTTATACCGACCATGATATTTCTATTTTAAAAATCGCTGATTTACATATATCTGAAAAATAATTATAATTTATAACAGAAGGACTTCGCTTGCATATCAGCTTTTTGCAGTTTTGCAGTTTTATCTCTTGAAAATATGATAAAACAACAGCTCGTATATTTTACGCACATGCAAAACTGTCACGTCACTGTTTAATATTATGATTGTCATTTCTCGACGACGCGCGGATATACGCGTGGATGTACGTGATACCGAATGCCCGACTATACTCTGTGAACTTTTATCGAAATGTAAATTCACGATGCACTCAATTTCCGAACGCTTTCTTTTCCAAGGTAGTGAGAGAGAAGCAAAAGCAGATCGATATACACGTCCGAGCTCAGGGAGATGATATGTGTTGTACTTGCTACGAGTTTTGATGTATTCGTTCGTACTATGTCCGTACGCTTGTTCCGTGGCATATCACCAATGCCGTGTATGGCCAATAGCTTTCTGTATCGGAAAACCGAAAAAGGAAAGATATTTACGAAATAGTACAAAGAGAGAGACTAAGACTAGAGAAAGAAAAAACTAGAAATTCTTTTAGCTTACATTACGCCGATTGAATTTTAAGCGTTTCGCATTTCTTATTTTTCTAATTTTTTTGATATCTTCTTTTCGGTGCCAATTCAATCCGTTCAACTTTCTTCTACTACTGCATTTTTATCTGCTTTTTCAATCGCTATTGTTAGTCGAACAATTACATAGTCTCTCTTTTTAAGGAATTTATGTTTGCAAATTGAATAGCTGACATGAGGAAAAGTATAAATTTGAAAAGAGAGTAAAATTCCGTTTTTGTTCTGATAAAAATATGTAACAGTACGATATACAAACCTTTTCAGTTTGTTATACGGTTTAAACGTACGATAAATGCCTATATAACGGATTATACATAAAATAGTTATACGGAAAAATGTAATTAAGTTTGTAATGTATGCGCTCACAAAGCTGTCTTTTGCGCGCATGATATAATCAGGATTACAAACAATCTTTTGTTTTAGAACAGCGGCTCATTATGTGCTTTGAATTCAACGTTATTATAAACGGGAGCTGTCAAATTGACGCGAAAATTAAAAGCGGTGTGCCATAGTCATGTATACTGTTTCGTGATTTATTTGAGTCAACCGGCCGTGGCGATGTTCATTTATTCGCACGCGTAATTAAATGGCGTGACTTGATATACGGAACACTAAGAATGAGCTTTAATACCATATGTATTGTGGGAACAATTTAACATTTAACATTTATTGCGTCGTAATGATTGTAACGGAAGCGAACAGTTGTTGGCATTCTCAATCACTCTGTGCGAAATAATTTATTAACAATCAATGAATATTTAAATTTATTTAATTTGATTGGGCAGCTGACCCCAAAAAAGGTAACGTCTAATTTATGTAAATGTATATTTTCCAACGTTTGCGATGATTTTACGACCGATTGCCACACCTGAAATATTTATCGATATTCGCAACACAAATTCAGTTGATTGCTCAATAAGTTATTAACTACAAAATTATTATTTATCTCTCTCTCACTCCAGTCTTTCTCGTATTATTTCGTGAATTGTTTTCTTTTTCAATTTTTCGACATAAAAAGTTATTGGCCATGCATACATGGCATTGATGAAATGTCACGGAGCATAAGCGTATGGACGTAGTACGAACAAATGCATTAAAATCTGCGATAGCAAATATAGCGTTATTGCGCTCTTTTAATTACATTTGCTAGTTTCTGCCTTCTCTCCTTGACGAAAGTGTTACAAATGTACTAGTTCAATTCCTATATATGAATCTGATAAAAAAATCGCAATGAATTTATCCTCCCATTGCGAGGACGATATGTTCATCTTTCTTCATTTTGCGTTAAATTTTCAAACTATTCATCTTTTCATTCTCATTTGCATTATTAGACTCATTATTGTCACAATGAGCATAGCGAATCGAGCAACGTATAACCTTACGAGGTATGCCAAAGAGAATCGATAGCGGGTCGCTAACGAGAGACGTAAATCTATTCCGCAAATTCTATAAATCGTAGAGTCAAGCCGGTGCAGCTGCTCGTACAGTTACTTTATGACGTACACGAGATTAAAATCAATTTATGGCGCCAATTTCTCCTAACCGAATGAATTGGAAGGCGCAGAATTTCAGCGGACCATACGAAGAAACTGTCGCGAGTACTTATGTGACGCGAAATGATAGAAATGGCAACGAATGGAACGTGTACTCGTGTATCTCTTTTCTCGATCGAATAAAAATAAATCTGTGTTTACATATGGAAATTTTCGTTTGGGATACCATTATTTTAAATACAAAGATATTTTACGAACTTTAATCCAATTTTGTTTCGTAGCAGTCAAATTATGATTTAGCGCTATTATTTATTATTTCTTTTCTGATATTTTACTTTTTAAAGTAAATCCTTTATTTTACGATTTATTTGTACGATACCAGATAAAATTTTTCAAGATGTTGTTTTTCGATAAGAATCAATAAATTGATATATTTTTAAAATTTGTTAGAACTTATAAAAATACTTTAATATACCTTTTTCAAAATATTAATATAGTTTTTAAAGTGCATTTATTAAATACATATATTCAAACTTATACCAAAATATTCTTGTCAAAGACATTAAAATTATTTCGGAAACACTGAACATGTAAAATGTAACATGTAAACACATGCGCATAAAATACATTGTACAGTGAAGTTACACGGAACACGGTTCTAGTCGGGATCATCTCACGTAGGTGTAAGTAGACCATAAATCTTTATCCTGCTCTAGTGAACAGAAAACCGGGTAGATAGACGGTTGGATAAAGATATTCTGTGATGGTGCTCGTAGACGGAAAATAAGTAGTGCACGCGTGGATCTCGTCAAAGTAGCACCCTTTAATATGGATGCGTGATTTCCCAGGCGGGCTGTTTCATCCGTCGGACGACAAGCAGGAAGTGGCCTTTCGCTACGCCGCGGAGAAGATCAACGCCAACCGGGACATCCTGCCCAAGTCTCGTCTCAGCGCTCAGGTCGAGGTGATACAGCCGCAAGATAGTTTCCACGCCTCAAAACGAGGTGAGTTTCATAATTGAATCGGAAATACTTGTCGGATTATACGAGATTCTGTCACGCTTTGGGTGTTTCAAAAATTTTCTCGTGAAAATCGACTATAGTGTCTACTTTTAATTTTTCATTTCTTTATTGTACTGCGCACCTAAGTAAAATATTTTTTAAATATATTTGAAATTAAAAAAAGATATTTACATATGCACGTATATTTAGAATAGAAAATATGAATTTTATGACATACTTTTTAGATTTTAAAATTTTGATTTAAATATTATGCAATTAAAGAATCCAAAAAAATTCTATCAACGTGCTTTTATTACAAAATTTTCTCTCATTTTAATTAAAAAAAATGAGAAAAGTTGCATTTAAAGATTTCTTCTTTTATTAATAATGTATAGTTTAAAACTAAAAGAAGTTATCAAAAAAATTAGATAGAATTACTTCAGTTAGCGATATCGATAAAAGTTAATCGATATCGACGAGTTAAGAGCAACTTATACTGTGCGAGCAAGGACTACTATTTTGTCGAGAAACTTCGCGTTAATGTATAGGTGTGGTATACCGAATCGCACAAACTGCCTCGAGAGTTTGTGTGACTTGCTTGATGCGCGAAATAAATTCTATTTATACGATTAAGGATTCGAGAGATTGTCGCGTAAAGCTTCACTCTCGCCAATACTAGAACAGAGCTCTACCATCTGATTCCTGGTGTGACGATCCCGTTCTCCAATACTAGCACAGCTTCCTAACATCCTTATCTCAGGCGAAGCCTCTCTAACGCTAAATCTTGTTACTTGCAGTTTCGGCATGTCTAGTGCACCGCGTTCGTGAATCGAAGTTAGTTTTAACGTGTTAAAAATTTTACTTCACTCGAATATGTACTTCGCAACGTAATAGCGATAGCTCGTGCAAATCGACCACTTTTTAAATATTACATTTAAAAACGGTACTTTTCTTTTATAAATTTTTTACTTGAATTTTTACGTAGTTATATACATGTGAATTAGTATTTAAGTCGATAATCTATATTATCTATAACGATTAAAAAGAATTACTTTTTTATTCATAAAACCAATATATTAAATTTCTTTTTATATTAAAGATATGTATAGTAATAGTATATACGTAAAATGTTCTATTACTATATTGTACCGTTATAATAGTAAAAAATAACGTAAGTAATATGTTTTGCAAATATTTTGAAATTTACACATGTATTGAGATATTGATGTGCAATATTATGATACAGTGCATATTGTATAATACTATAGTATTTTCTTCTTAAATGACAAAATATCAAGATATAATATAAACAGTAATGAGATAAATTAAAGAAAATACCTCAGTATATCTCTCTAAATATTTGAATTTTTTCTTAAATATTACATAATTTATTTTTTTATTACTTTATATTTTTATTAATTTATATCATGTTTCTTCACATAACTGTCTGTCTCTCATATCTTATTTGAAAGGCGGTGATGTATGTATATGAAGAATTGTCTCTTGATTCAGAAAGTAGGTCACGAATTTAATATTGGGAAAGTCATGGGGGAAAGTTCAATATGAAAATAACTCTACATGATATATACATATAATACAAGCCTGCGGTTAGTCGCTTAACTATACATATATGCAACCGGAAATTAATAACGTCCAGCACAAAATAATAACTCGGCGGATATTTGCGCATGGAATTAACCAGGGCCAACGTAATTACCATGTCGAGTTACTAAATGATTAAAGCGAACGGTGCATTCTAAATATGCACACTAGAGTCGCATGCAGGCGCATCGGTCAAGCCGCGAATGTGTGCGAGCGTGTGAACCGCCGCAAAGCGCGCGCATAGGGGCTAGATAGCCGAATTTGGCTGTGCTCCAGCACGGTATTACACCGTGAAAGCAATTTTATTGATAAACTTCTGTTTGCCAGAAGTTAACAAATCTCCTTGGGACACGCCGATCGCTACGGCCGAGCTGGCCGAGCACAATCGCGTCGTGCATTCGGCGACGTTCGAATTCGCTGTCGTGGGTGATTCAAAAAATTTATCTCTCTCTGTAAATCAGCGGCGAAACGGCACAGTGCAGAGTAACGAGCATTCTGTCGGACGTGTAACTCAAACTTCGTTAACAATAGAGTATACTACGTTATAATAGCGAACATGAGATTCCAGCTTTGTTAACAATGGCGTATAATGGGAATATAATGCGATTTATGCAAGATTCAAGCTTTATGGATAATAATGTACAGTAGGATTAGGAATATGACCTCGAATTCTAGATATTAATGTTATATCTAGATATTAATGTGATATCTAAACGTTATCACAAGTCGAATAAGAAATTTCAATATTTTCAATAATTCAAGATGTAAATAAAACAAACAATCACTCAATTCACGTATAATTAGAATATTTCGTTTCGAATATTAAATACGAATAAAATCTTGCCATTTTTGCTTCAAATAAATAAAATTTACATTATATTTGAATGTTTTAAATTGAAAATCTTGCCAATTTTATTAAAATATATGAGTATTTAAAAATAAGGAATTACACACTTACCAATGAGAAGAAAGATGAAAAAATGAAAATGATAAATTATAAATATTATATAAGTATTGATAATAAATTTATTTCTAACATTATACATGTATATCTTATGTATATACAGATCGACGTTATTCATTTATTTGGTTAGCGAAGTAATTATGTCACAGTCTCGTTCGAGACAAAGAAAAAGGAGAAAAGAAGTAGTACTGATAAACGGTTGTCTGCGACGTCGGACGCAATAGCGGGATAAATTAAATGCTGGAAATTCACGTCAGGTCTCGTGTTCTTCTCGTCGTTTAGGTTTCGTTCGCCCCGGGGCGATGAACCTCTTCGTTCGACAAACAGAAAGAGCGGATGGCCGTTTGGATGGTCTCGCTTCGCGTCTTTTTATGATACGACGGAAAAACATCGGTGAATGCGGTTTCCCTTTGTTCGTTTCCTACCTTTGCCATTGCATAGTTGTTGGTAATACAATTTTACGATTTTGCCTAGCTGTGTCTCGGAATTTTCGGTAATACAGTCTGTCGTTCTCCATCGTGAAATCCGAGTTAGAACGGGAGTTAACGAGGATGCGCGCATTCGATTATGCGCGTCGTTCCACCGAGCCACGTAGAAAAAAAAGCATACAGAACGACAGCGGTAAACAGTAGCACGGTAGTTCCACCAGAGACAGTTGTTGAGTTCGTTCCATATGCATTGCGCAATAATCTTTGCGAATAGAGATTTTCTCCAGTTCTTTCCATATATTTTTGTTAAAGTAGAGGAGATACTTTGCTAAGTAAACCAAATGGAAATAATATTCTTTTAACAATGAAAATGTCTACAGTTTTTACAAAACTTTAAAAGCACAATAGGTACAGCAAAATTTTAATCTTTGTTTATGTAAAGAATATTCACTTATGTTCTAAAAATACTTATTAATTTAGATTTATATGAAATTATTAAATAATATTTAGAACCTTAAAGGAATTAAAAGAATTTAGTAAAATTTTAACTTAAATTAACAATATAAGTATAATTGAAATTATATGTAAAATAGTTTTATTAAATTAGTATCGGTAAACAAATTTATTCATAATTGTAAGATAATACATACTATACATATGTTAACTTGGGAATTATAAAGATAATTTTTCCAGGAATAAAAATACGATAAATAAATTAATATTTTTTTAGCAAAATTTAAGATTTCGTGTTCACACGTAATATAATTTATATTATATTACGTACGGCATATACTTCGTATATATTATTAATCGATTATCGTGTAACTTGCGTGAAGGAAAGGAATCTTGCGAACGTCCTTCGGTACTAACGCGAAAATGAGAATATACCGAAATACCCTTGCGAAAGTATAAGAGACGCCTCGTGATATTTTACGCTTACGGCAATGGCGTGGCGGGCGGCGTATGTCCGAGGTTTCCGTAACTATCCACCCGAGGGTGAAGTAACCGAGCAAGCGGTGGCGTTGTCCCGCTCGTTTCGCTTTCGCTAAGCCAATTTCCCAAAAATCACCGGGATGAAACGAAAAGTTCCGCGTCGGAGCCGTGGGAGTAACCGCAAGCTGCGGTGATGCCGAGATAGAACAGTCCGCTCTAATTTTGCCGTAACTTTAAAGATTTCTTCTTTCACATTGTTGCGCCAACTTTCGAGAAAGTATTGGTACACGAGAAGCGTTTGTGAGACTATCTCGAAAAATGCCACGTGATTTCAGAAGTTCGGAACGAGAGGAATTAAGAGATACTCGTGCAACGCGCGTTTTTAAATCTTCATCAGTAGTTCTTAAAGTGGCGTGCGTGCATTTTGTTCGTGCTTCAGTCGCGTTTAACATAAACAAAGAAAATAAAAGAAGTCCTTATAAGCAAGACGACATTTTTATGGAAAAATTCTGTGGGTACATAAGCAATAAGTCGGTTGGATAAAATATAAAGGTTGAGCTCAAAAAAATATTGTTCCAGAAATAAATTTTAATAATAAAAATGACATCTCTATTACCGAGAGGCAAAAGAGGATTGTAATATTCTATGCTATGTTTTCACAAATATAAGAACTTTTTCATACATAAATAGATAATGTAATCTTTTGATAGTCTCTCTATTATGATATGACGATATTGTAGTTGCTAGAAGAACTAAAAAAACTTGATATAAAAAATTATTAGAATACACTTAATATACCAGTTAAATAAAGTCTTATTTAACTAGTATATTAATCAGTGCTAGTTCCTTTTTATCTTCTTTGCATAAGATCTATATATTAAAATTTATGTGTAATTAAGTGTACAAAGGAAGCGTAATTTTAAAAGCGTATAAAATTATTAAATGTTATCTCGAGACCTAGATTCAAATTAAATAGTCTGCTATATCGTTCACGACAGTGAAAACGCATCGACCCAATTTTTTCTCGGACATTAATGGGCAGAACGTTGATCAAACGTAATTTCTTCGTTAGCAGT